AAGCCGTAAGTTTTCTACATCAAACCTTTAGATCCGCTGCGCATATGTTTATGTTGAATGTTTGTCCGTGATTTGTGCATATCGAGATCCTCATGGGTTCCAACATTGCCTTCTCTGTCGTCGGCTTAAGCTCGGCTAGGGTCGTCCACACCGCTCTCCCCTCCCCCTAACGGTTCACACCTCTGGTTCACTGTGGATGGCAGCGACTAGGGTTCCAGTTCCCAGTAGCGTATGGGGCTTCAAACGGTGGTTGCGCCTCTCTCGGTCGGCGATGGACCAGATTCGGGAGTTGTCTCTTCCGAAGCAGGCGAATTTCTGACTGGAGGAGGTAAGCCCCTTTCTCTCGCCCTCGTCTCCTCTGGTTGGATTTGGCCGGTCACGGCGGGGCTCCGCCTTTCCGGTGGGGCTCCGACCCCTGGTGGTCGGCAAGCTATGGTGGTGTCGGGAGGGGCGTGCGGTTTCGGGTGGGGAGGGACCCCGATGGCTGTGGCGTCTAAAGTTACGGTGGTTGGGGTTGAAGGCTCGATTTTCGCTTACTCTCCCTGTTCGGCTAGTTGTGATAGGCAGCCGGGGATTGGTGCTATCCGTCTCGTCTAGTGGTGTTAGATGAGCTCGGGTGGGGCCAGTGTGTGGGGGTTGATTGTGGCTTTCTCGGTTAAAGACGAGTCGATTCCTGGGATGGGTTTGAGGCTCAGTTTGTTCTACTGTATAGGCCTTCTGCAGTTTCGGTAGCGGCTTCTGGACCTCGAGTCCTTCTTGTGTCGATCGTTTCACTGCTGGTTGGGCTGCGTCATTCGTCGAGGAAGGGCTCCGTTTGTTTTGTTTCAGTTGTTTTGTTGTTCTTGTAGGTGTGTTGCCGTATTTGTTGTGTTTTTGCTAGTTTGTTTGTTGTCGTTGTTAATGTGTTTTAGGTTTGGGCTGTTGGGAGTTAAAAACATAGTTAATATGAAATAATAAAAATAATATAAATTGTGTTTGGGAGTTAATATGAAATAAATTAAATATTGTGACGGAATATGTAGGAATCATCTTAATTCCAACTCCGTCGGCCAGGCCAGCCTGTTAAGTTTTCTTATGAAACTTCTTGCAAGATGAGGCACAGTTGACTTGAATTGCCACCTCTTGTCTTGTCTATCTAAATATACTGCATTTTTTTCTTTTATTTCTTTTTAATTAGCATATGGAAATGAAGAAAACAAGAGTGAGTTAATATTGCCTCCCTCGTAATCACAATCACAATCATATTCACTGCTGTGTACAAGAAAGAAGCCAATTATAGCAGCAAAACAGTTCAAAAAATCCTCTCTTTTCAGCAGCACCTCACCTTAAATTTGTAAGTGAAATTTGCTCCCGTTAGTTTAAGACTATTCTGGAATTAAATGTTTTAGGTTTAATTTTTTAATTTCTATTTTAATTTTCCTGTGCTTAAAATTTAGTGTAATGGTTTGATAATAGCCTGTTATTTTTCTGTGTAGATGTTGCTTGATTATCTTTTATTGTGTTTTTGAGTTGCTTATATAAAGCACTTGTGTTTTGAATAGTGCCTTATTTCCCATTTTTTTCCAGTATTCCGTTTCCGGTTGTTTTTGTCAAAATTATCTTTTATGTTAATGTATAAAAAAAAATAATAATAATGTTTAGATTGCAGATTTTAGGTTGAAGAAAAAAAAAAAA